GTGGTGGTGGTGGTGGTGGTGGTGGTGGTGGTGGTGGTGGTGGTGGTGGTATTGTTCACAGCAACAGTAGCATTTTCTGTCTAAAAATATCTTCTTGATCTACACTTCTTGCTACAAATTTCTCCTCTGTGCTTTTTGGCTTTTTCATTAAGTGCGATGCATTCAAAACAAACCTGCGTACTTTGCAAAGACCCTACATAGGTCTATGAAGGGTCTTGGCACGGATGACAAGTCGTTGAGTCGGGTTATAGTCACCCGCTGTGAAATCGATATGGTGCAAATCAAGACGGCCTTTGAGGCTGAATACGAAAGGAGTCTTGCCGAATGGATAAAGGTGAGTTCCTGAACTTTTATTTGTTTTGCCATCGTATGTTTTCGTCATTCAAGTTCAGCTTTTAATAGTCTGTCCTTCTGTATACAGCTGGATTGTTTCGGGTCTCGTGCATTGGATCAGAATTCGGTGGGAGTCGGGATTGAGCGCATGAGAACAGTAAAAATATCAAATTATAACGTAGCTAATAGGCAAAAGAAAAGTCATATATGAACGACGTTTATATTTTAGGAGAAATTGTGGGACGCGTCGAATAAGGCCGGTGCTCGCAGTAGGTGACTAGCATTTCAAACGTACGCGGAAAAAAATGAAACGGTTAAAACAAACGTAGATGTTTACCTTTGGCTACTTATTTTGAGGTATGAACAGGCTGGAGTTTAGGAAAACCCAAGGCCGTTTAATGCTAACCCGAAATCTCCCCCCTTAACTCAATTCAATAACCCTGCGGACAGGCATTTTGCTAGTTTCCGGACCAATCAGTATATTTGGAATAAATGATAGAAGTCCTTAAAAACTCTATTTAAACGGCACATGTCTGCATGAAGATAAGTAAAGTGGAAATTTTAGCGGATCGTTTTAGTATTCAGAACACACAAAACCAATACTAAAACATAAAACACGAAACGATGCGGCATTCGCGAATTAACAGCAGAAAACATGCTCGCTGCATTCGTCTATGAAATTTTCCTCAAATTAAAAAATAATTTCAATGAAGTGCTCTACTTAATTCAAGAGGGTAGTATGTTTTCAGTTAATGTAGTAACCCATTAGGAGAGATCTGGGGAGTTCGGGTTGACCTTTAACAGGCGATTATCCAGATATCTCTTAAACACACTTCCGGTGGGAGAATGCACAATATATATAGGGCAAGACTTCCACTGACGCAGGATGCTGTTAGAAAACGGTGGAGCGCTGACTGATCGGGCATAATCGCTTTTTAAGTTGGCAATCGTGCATCTGAGATTCGTTTTCGGGACCATTTTAAATACTTTTTTCCCAATCCACATCCAGCTCAATTCGCCTTAGCATATGAGCCGTTGTTATAAGGTCACCTCCGTCCTGCCTATTGTGAAAGGGGTAGACACTCAAGGCGGTCAGACCCTGATCGTCGGTCAAATTTCAGAGTCCCTGAACAACTTTTATAGCTCGTCATTGTACACCTTCAAAAATACCTATATCTTTCCAAAACCACGGTCACCAAACTTGGACCGCTGTGGCTGCTCAAATGCTGCATAAACCTTACCAAAGATATAAGCATTCAATTTAAAAAATTTCTTCATATCGCGCCCATAGTTGAGACATTGTCCGTGCTGCGACTTGGAAGCACTGCGTTGTTGGACTTAAGTCGACTTTAATGTATACGCCAAAGTCTTTTTGTACAATAAAAGTTTTCACTGTCTAATTTTCCAAGAGATACTGTCGTGGGAATGCAGTTGTTAGTGATCTAGCTAAAGGTATGTGCATTTGTTCAAACTTTTTGACATTGTATTTTACACACCATTGTTCGCTCCATGCGTGTAGCTTCTCCATATCCTCATGTAGTATCTAAGAATCTCATTCGTCCTTTATCACCCCCACAGCTTAAGATCATCTGCAAAGAGCACTATGTCCGATGTTACTTTTCGTACTTGTTCAAGTACAGTGGGTTGCCAAACTCATGCAATCCTACGATTTTTACAAGTAACTCCCTCTTACTCAAACGCAGCTCGAGCTCTGGCCCCTAAAGTCTTACAGCAATAAAGTTATAATCGTTCTTCACAATAGGGCATATTATGATTGATGAAGGAATATAACGTTTT